AACATTATTATTATTATTATTATTATTATTATTATTATTATCCATATAACATTTGCTAATTTCATTTCATGATTGATCAACACATATAAGCTGAAGCACTCCTCCTATTAACAGTCCGTTCTGGCCTGGACAACGAGGCAGGCTTGGCACAGAAGGGCCTTGAGATGGGAACAGTATTGTTGACACTTTATCATGTGTTCAGAGCTGCAGAGAGGCTCTGAACTCCAGCTGATGGAATGCAGGATCCGGCAGATTAAAAGCTAACATGCAGACTCCTGTCTCCGTGTCGACCAGATATTGAAGGGTCAAACTGTACTTAAAAACTGACCATTACTGGGCATTACATAACTCCCCTTTTCAAGGGCGCGGGGTCCTGGCAGAAACCACGGGTCGTTGAATAATCCCAGAGGCCCTAGGGACTCATTCGAGGAAGGAAAGGTCAGTTCCCAGGCAGAGGCATGAGGAGTGAGGAAAAACAAACCCCCCACACCAGAGAATAGTCAATAGTACTCCCAAACTTGAAGAGACAATTACAAACAAGCAAAGATAATTCCACTTAACATAGTCCTTAGGCAGTAAGAAGATGAGCAAGGACCGGGCGAACCATAGAACTCCAGCAACCACGGCAGGAACCACAGGACGTCCAGACCCAAACGAATTAAACGATTACATCATTGACTCGTGACTCGAGCTAAAGCCTCGATCCATTTGTCCATTTCTCGTTCCATTCCAAGAAATCCTGAGAATGTTACAAAGAGTCATCTCCATGTCGGTTCACAGCCTACAAGAGGACATTTCAGGAATCGAGCTGTAGAGGATGGACCTGTGTCCCAAACTGGAAAGACTTCCTCTTTACAACTGTTTAAAACGGCTGCATGCAGGGTTCTGCTTGAATAGATCATCAGTACTTTCTCTCTTTCCCCCAGGCCAGACTATCTGAAAGATTATCATTATTTCCCCCCAAAAAAGAAGCTCAACTTAATTTTCCATCATTTTAAAGCCTTAATTCAATGGGGCTGTTCTGAATGAGTGTGTGAGAGATAGACGTGTGGAAACCCACCCATCTGCCTTCTGCAAGGGTCATTTTCCTTCAACCCTGAGTAATTATGATCAACAGAGTATTCAGAGCTCACTCGTGCAATCAGCAGCATGACACATCTGCCTGTTCATCCCGGTCCAACCTCACATAATGTCCCAGCTCAGGTGTTTGCTGAAGGCAACAATAGAAGCAGATGAGAGTGACACTTTAACCTCTCCAATCACCTCTCCTGGCGTCACAGCAACCAATCATTTGTGTGGAAAATACAGTCGGCTGAATACCACCATGAAGGTTTATCGCCTCGGCTCCCAGTAGTGTGCGAATTTAATAAAAATCATTTACTAAGAAATTTACAAGAGGAGTGATATTTTGGAAACATGCTTTGAGTTGCTGGTAGTAATTTTTTTCCTTTTGCGTGGGGAAAGTCAGATTTTAGTGAATCCTTTACTTTGGCTTTCCTCAAATGGCTCTTTCTTTTGGAAATAAATAGATTGAAGGTCTTGAGGGTCTTGGCCAGCAAAGAGAAGGAGTTTACAGAAGTAGCTTTTTTCTTTTGAACCAAACTATAGGACGTGAGGGAGGTGCTGCAGCAATGACACCAAACCTCCTCCCCCATTCAGAGAGTTTTTCAAGCCACTAACAAACACACATTAACAAACACACCCACTCTGACAGAGAAACGGCAGCAGGCCTCTTAAGGTGCTTTTATAGGACACACCATGCCGACAAATCGGCGTAATATTACCACAATGGTATGTCTATAAATGCGCAGTGCTGGCATGGTGTTGCGCGAATATTGCGGCATTTGTTCCGCCTCGCTTGGTAATAATATTGCCACATCAGCCCCTTGCCTCTGACAGCTAAACGCGTGCCAGGCTCTCTAATTCCTTTGGAGCGACTGTGGAAGGCCCCCCCGCAAAAGAGGGTGGTCGCGTTATTCATGTGTACTGCGCGTCGAGTGCCGGCCGGAATGAAAGCCGGCTGGACGAACGCGGAGACCATGGAGCTTTTGGCCGTGCGAGCAGAACAGATTAGTCGCCTTTTTACGGGGACGGTGAGAGACAGCCAGCTGTTCGACAGAGTAGTGAAAACACTGGCTGAGCGGGGCGTCAAGCGGGACAAAAAGCAGGTCACATCAAAGCTAAAGGTCCTGAAAAAGAAATTTCATCAGTCTGATGTGTCTTCCGTCTGACAGTGAATGCACGACCCTGTACGTCACATGCGGGGGGGCCGCCCAGCGACTTCCCTATATCCCACCTTGGTTTGAGAGGTGCCTGATGGCAGTCTATTCTAGCTTCAGCTTTGCTACTATAAATGCCAAAATCCTCCCCAGGGTGCCGTGGCAAATCCTGTTTTGAAAACGCTATGGTTCTATAAAAGCAGCTCTAGTCTGGAGGATTTCTCTCCTCCTCCTCCACCACTGCATTAAGGTCTTATTGGAGGAGGCAAGCGACTTCTGAGTTGCCCGAGGCAACCGGTGCCAAGCCGGATACAGGCTTGTCAGCTGCTCCAGACAGGGATGGTACCGTAACACACCACTGTACTGGCTAACATCACACAGCACTTAGCCAATAGCAATGGCTGATTAAAATGCAAATGTTGAGCAGACTTTTATCCCGAAGAGGGCAGCACGCTGATGGTTTTGAGCAAAGTATTTATATTTGAAATAAGATGCACTAAAATCCCCAAATAATTATGTCTTCAACACTATGAGAAACTCATTTATACAGTTTATCAGCAAAGAATTTTAACTTGGGTATGACTTGCTCTTGAAGGCCTCTCAAACGTTACAGACTTTACGGAAAGAAGCATTGGGTTTCTAGATTTGCAGAAGGCTGCTGCCCTTGTCTCACCGATCGCATGAAGAGGTGGAGGGGAATGAGGGACAAATTTGTTCGTGTTAAAACATCTCTGAAACCATTAGAACAATGTAAACACAAGAGTAAATACACCGTTGTGGACCGGATATGTGACTGTAATGGTGGCATGATACCTCAGAATAGCGCTACGCCCTCTGTTGCCCTGGCGGGGAATTGTTTTGCAACAATCCCCAGCTGACGGAGAAGTCTGAAAGCAAAACGTCTCTGTCAATGCGAGTGCTTCTGTCCCTCGCAGAGCTGACGGACAAGTATAAATTAGGCTTTAACTGGTTAGCTTTAGTTCTGGCGGAATTTTAAACTTAAATAGTGCAGTTTTTACAGAAGGTCAACAACAACCTGATGGGTGGATGTCCAAATTCAGGATTTTCTTTCACATGACTCAATGGGACTCTGCCTCCTTGGGGTCATTCAGTGGCTGGCCTTTACATCATCTGCCCCTTTTGAGTTTATTGATTTGCTCTTAAAAATAATGTAAAGTCTATTTTAAAGATATTTCTTTGGGACTAACTGGGGATTTCTTTCTCAAAGATTTCTCAAATCCCTGAGATGATTTACCGTATTTTCCAGACCATTAGTCGCACTTTTTTTTCATAGTCTGGCTGGTCCTGCAACTAATACACCAAAGTGACTTATTTACCAAATTATGTTTACCGTGCTGCTGCGGGCCGGCTCCGGCCCAGGAATGAGCTCTCCCCGCCCGCTGGGAGGGTTTGAAACACCGCCATCCTCTACTGGAGACCGTGGCACGCTGCGCCCTGGTTGTTTATTCTGTTATTGTTACCGGTACTTGTCTTGCAATGTGTAATGCTTGGTCTCAGACTTTGTAAGAAAAATATTAAAAAATTTCCCCCAAAGTGCTACTTATATATGTTTTTTTCTTCTTCATTATACATTTTACGGCTGGTGCGACTTATACTCCAGAAAATACGGTATGCTACGTGATTAGTTAAATGTCTGAAATGTTGTTGCCAAATCTCAAACTGTAAACTCTGCTGTGCAGTGGTGGACTCCTATGTCCTCTGTGATCAGGGCTGTTTCTCAGTGTTAAGGTGTCAGACTCGAAGACTGGGTTCGGGAGTAAGAGCTTTATTTAGACTGCTGGTTGAAAGCGGTGCTGGAAAGGCTGGAGGTTGGATGAGGTCTGAGTAGGAAAGGTGGAGGTTAAGCTGTATTAGCTTCTGAATACTCTGATCATGGATCACGGTGGAACGATGACTGAGTGAAGAGCCGGTGTGGCGTCTTCCATATATAGACATGGATTGACGCAGGTGCAACGTGGAGGGAATCCCCGCGAGGGGCATGCTGGGTAATGTGGTCCAAGACGGAAGCCGGTCAGCTGGGAGAGCCCGGCCTGGGGGCTTGGACTCTGACCTTGCCTTGTGAGGCAATGTCTTGCGAGGCCAGGCGCCTTGCTTATGAGGACACTGTCCTTCCTTGGTCAAAGAAAATGGTTAAATGGTCATGTGACACGGGAGACAATGTTATATTTTATATGTATTAGTTTCAATATAAACATATAACCAGCCTTTAACTTTTTAAATTGTGTATATCTTTATTAAATTAAATATATAAGTGAGTTACTACCCGCTAGTCACCGAAGCTGCAACTACTAAGCAACTAACCAACCATAGATAACTTCTTTAGATCTATAACAAACATTTTAAACTAGCTGACTTACTGTTAAACTTGAAAATACCGTGGTGTATTCTGGGTAATTTTTGACCAAGGCTAGGCTACAAGACACCTCCCGTGTATCCTCACTCAGCTAGCTGAACGGCTAACAAACGGAGAACACACGCCTCGGTAGAACATGAACATTGGATCACGTCTTGGCGGCTCCCCATGACGTAGCTCCTAGAAAAGCGGTGCAAAGCCAAGACATCAAGGCAAGGTTCCTTGGCACTGAGAAACACCACTTGTCTTTGGGATGAAGATCTGCTTTCTGTCATTTCTTTTACACATGAAAAGTTTAAGTGTCCTCCCGCCTTCTGACTCGTCTAAAACCAAACTAACGCTTTTTGGTGATTTATTTATTTATTTATTTATTTATTTATTTATTTATGTCTGTTTTTCATCCACAGGGGCTCAAACCCATGGATCACAATGGGCTGTCGGATCCATACGTCAAGCTCCACCTTCTGCCTGGTGCCAGCAAGGTGCGTGTTGAAAACACTCATTGAAAACTAATCTGTCTTATGTATGCTCATCTTATTTATGATGGCAAGGCTGCCAACTCTCACGCTCAGTGCGTGAGACACACGCATTTGACCCTCTTCACACGCTCTCACACCACACCTCCAATCTCTCACTCTAAACCAATGCCTGCGCTCCCCAGACGCGCATCACGCACAGTGTGTAGGGTTATAAAAAAACAGATGATATTAATTATAGCATTAGCTACTGAACAACATGCACACAAACAACACTTAAGTAATTATTTTACTGGCATTATTTCACACACAGAATCCCATCTGTATAATTCAAGCCGATGGGTTTTTTCCGCTCTGGTTGTGAGATGGGCGGAGTGGTGAGCTCCACCTGCTGTTGATGGGATGGGCAGGCCCGGTTCTTTCTCCTAGAACCGTGAGCTGCGGCTGCGAGCGCCGCCAAAATGACATGCTTAATGCAGCCACGTCGTGGTTGCCAGCTGATGTTGACGGAGCTTCAGTCCCGAATGATTTTCTTTTGTTTTCACTCATCAGCCACAGATCCTCGCTCACAGCAAGCTGGGCTTCCTACCGTGGTGACTCACTCACATATTCCCTCTCCTACATTAGTTGGCAGCACAGTAAATTGAAACATTAGGAATCCTAGTATTTTAATTCACCGCTTCACCAGTACATTTTTCCTGTGTGTGAGATGAACCCCTCCTCCCTAGCCAGGTTACTGGTACGGAAGCCTGGAAAGGCCAAAACTCCTCAAACATTTTTTTCTTACTGGCTGATATGAATTAATAAAACAGAATAGAGTAAATTGTATCAGTCCCACAGTGGGGACATCCACTCATTACAGCAGCACACACACTTAGAGACACAGATTACAGTAAATCTGATTCCAGCCATGTTTGCTTTGATAACTTCAATAACTTCATGCTGATGAACACATGAACATAATCCTCTGTTTAATGGATGCAACTACATCATGAAGTTAGCTTAACATGATAGATTTTTTTTTCTTAGAAGGAAATAATAACTGGTAATATTAGGAATGACATGATATTGCCCACCATATTGCCCACTTCCGTACCTCTGACTTTACAGAGGGAAATGACCTTTGTTTAATACAAATGTTCGTTTTGTGAGGAAAATTGAACTTCTTCACATTATCTATCTATCTATCTATCTATCTATCTATCTATCTGCTTAATAATGACTAATTCAGACTTAGTAGTTCATTAATATGCATATTAATTGGCAGCTAATTAATGGTTAATTTGTGTTGCCTAAAGTGTTACCGAACTTCGTATAGAGCTCCGGGAGTTGACGTCACTTCTCCCGGCATGCAACAGTTCACATCGAAACGGCGCCCTATTGGCAGGCAGAAGCCCGCAGCCGGACTATTTGTTATTGTCAGAAAACTCAATCAAACGGGAAATATGGTAGATTCCTGTTGTGCGCCAGGATGCAGAACAGACGCGGACGACATAAGGAATGAGCCATCTACAGGATTCCCCAAGATCCGGAGCGCCGCAAACGTTGGATCATTGTAATAAAATGCACTAGTGACCGGGCTAAAATGAAACTGTGGGATCCCGAGAGTAAAGGTTTTCGCGTATGCAGCGACCGCTTCATATCAGGTACTTAAACCAACATTTCCTCAACTGTGTATGGTATTTATTTTAAATGCTTTTATTATGATTCTTAGTGGGCTTCCTAAACTTATTTTGGCGTGGATTTTTCTTTCGTATTACTCATAGCAACAAGTAAACATCACGTAAAACGTTGCCTCGTGATTTCTGCGTGCTGTCGTTTACGTGTTTTATGATCACAGCAATTAACCGGCTAAGCTGTATTTAATTTTTAAGCAATGATTGATCAATTGTCAGATCACACATAAAAAGCACTTTGGATTGCTATTATCTGTCTCACTGAGACAGATCTCAGACAGATCCTGAGACGCTCCTGCCTGACATATTTATTTATTCACGGAAAAAATCAAACTAGTTATTTCTCTTGGCGTTCAGTTTATACATTCAAACAGCACAGCACTCTATTTAAGCTACTTACATCTAAATCTGTTATTTGTCCATCCATCCATTTTCATCCACTTATCCGGAGTCGGGCTGCGGGTGTCATGTTGTGGTGTAGATGTCTAACCCACAGAATCAGCTTGAGACGGGGAAAGTGTTTTAAATAAGAATTTATTAAAAGGAAACCAAGGGAGCAGCTTGAACGTAGCTGAGTTCTGTCACAAAGGGAGCCCGTGCGGGAAATCTGTGGACAGATGGGAGTCAGATCCAACTCAAAGGGGAAAACAAGGATTCGGAATTGTGTGGGGGACTTACAGTCTGGAGAGGGGGAAAAGTAGCTTGAGGGAGGAGTGGTCCGGTCTGGGCTGAGAGGGGATTCCTGAAAACTGAGATCCAGAAGGGGAGACGTGGAGGGAGCTGAGTTGGTGGAGATCCAGGGAGCTTAGGTGGGTAGCTGGAGGTGGTTCTGGCCAGGGAGCAGCTGAGAGACAAGCAGGTTGGAGTTCCAGAGAAATAGCCAGTCGGGGATAAAAGTGGAGGTTTGATCTGGTGAACGAGAGCAGGAAGAATAAAATGCAAAATCCAAAAATCCAAAACACGTCTAAAATCTCAAAAATCCTAAATCCAAAAACAAATCTAATTCTCAAGAGGTTACGGAGCTCGAATAAGTTTCACAAGTGGCTGTTAGAAGGTACCCAGGTAGAGTAATCATCCAGCGAAGTGTAGGAGTCTCCCAGCTGCTTAAATACCCCTGGCCAGCTGATGAGCAGATCTGCTGCAGCTTGGTCACCTCCAGACACGCCCACCTGCAGAGGGAAAACTCAAAAGACAGGGAGTGACAGCAGGGAAATACCTCAGACCATGACAGCGGGGGCAGTAGCGTCAAGAGGCCCAGACTTCCCTCTTCCCAGCCACTTGGGCCAGCTCCTCCAGGGGAATCCCAAGGGGTTCCCCGGCCAGGTCCGGTAAGAAGTCAGCTCCGACAGCTTCTGGCGTTTTTAAAAAGTATCCCAGGGGCACGGTAAGGGTCAGAGATGTTTAGTCTATTTAATTTCTGACTATTTAAAACGATTTCTTCGGTTTTAAAGTGTGAAAAAAACTCCGACGAAGTAAAATCCAAGCCGATCCCGTTCAATTTGTTTACATTTGTTGCCTGCCAACATGGCTTCTACTCTCTGAGAGTCACGTGACGTCCGGAGCTCTATTGTGAGTAAATGGTATTTTTGTTCCAGGAAGTTTTCTATGTTGCCAAAGCCACTAACACAAATCAGCTCTAGCCCACACCTTGGAAGGTTTAGACACCCTTGATTTAACTGATCTGCAATGATTGTTTAATACACTCAACAAAAATATGAACGCTACCCCTTTGTTTCTGCTCCAATTTTTCATGAAATGGACTTAAAGATCTAAAATTCATTCTAGATACACAATATTACCTTTTCTCTCAAACATTGTTCACAAATCAGTCTAATTGTGTGATAGTGAGCACTTCTGCTTTGCTGAGATAATCCATCCCACCTCACAGGTGTGCCACATCAAGATGCTGATCCGACATCATGAGTAGTGCGCAGGTGTATCTTATACGCCCAGGACCTCCACATCCAGCAGGTTCACCTCCAAGATCGTCTGAGACCAGCCACTCAGACAGCTGCTGAAACAATTGGTTTGCATAACCAAACAATTTCTGCACAAACTGTCAAAAACCGTCTCAAGGAAGCTCAACTGCATGCTCGTCGTCCTCATTGGGGTCCTGACCTGACTCCAGCTTGTCACCGTAACAGACTTGAGTGGGCAAATGCTCACATTTGATGGCGTCTGCCACGTTGGAGAGGTGTTCTCTTCATGGATGAATCTCGGTTTACATTGTTCAGGGCATATGGCAGACAGTGTGTGTGGCGTCGTGTGGGTGAGCGCTTTACTGATGTCAATGTTGTGGATCGAGTGGCCCATGGTGATGGTGGGGTTATGGCATGGGCAGGCATCTGTTACGGATGAAGAACACAGGTGCATTTTATTGATGGCATTTTGAATGCACAGAGATACCGTGATGAGATCCTGAGGCCCATTGTTGTGCCGTACATCCATGAACATCCCCTCATGTTTCAGCAAGATAATGCATGGCCCCATGTTGCAAGGATCTGTACTCAATTCTTGGAAGCTGAAAATGTCCCAGTTCTTGCATGGCCAGCATACTCACTGGACATGTCACCCGTTGAGCATGTTTGGGATGTGCTTGATCGGCGTATACGACAGCATGTACCAGTTCCCACTGATATCCAACAACTTCGCACAGCCGTTGAAGAGGAGTGGACCAACATTCCACAGGCCACAATTGACAATCTGATCAACACGATGCGAAGAAGATGTGTTGCACTGCATGAGGCAAATGGTGGTCACACCAGATACTGACCGGTTCTGAGGCCCCAGACCCCCAATAAAGCAAAAAACTGCACATTCCAGGGTGGCCTTTTATTGTGGGCAGTATAAGGTACACCTGTGCACAACTCATAATGTCAGATCAGCATCTTGATGTGGCACACCTGTGAGGTGGGGTGGATTATCTCAGCAAAGCAGAAGTGCTCACTATCACACAATTAGACTGATTTGTGAACAATGTTTGAGAGAAATGGTAATATTGTGTACCTGGAATTAATTTCAGATCTTTAAGTCCATCTCATGAAAAATCAGAGCAGAAACAAAAGGGTTGTGTTGATGTTTTTGTTGAGTGTATTTTCCTGAAGATTATCTAATGACATAAAAACAGACTCCCTGAGTCACATTTCCGATTTTTCATTACAAGTATTTGTCTCCTCCTCAAAGCTTCGAACCCCCGACGGTCTGATTGTTATGCAAAAGAAAAATTAAAAACCTTTAAAGATTTTTCAAACAATTTATGATTTATTAAAATTTGTAAAATTAAATCATATCTAAGAATTTTGAATTTACAGGGAGTGCAGAATTATTAGGCAGGTTGTATTTTTGAGGAATAATTTTATTATTGAACAACAACCATGTTCTCAATGAACCCAAACAACTCATTAATATCAAAGCTGAATGTTTTTGGTAGTAGATTTTAGTTTGTTTTTAGTTTTAGCTATTTTAGGGGGATATCTGTGTGGGCAGGTGAATATTACTGTGCAAAATTAATAGGCAACTTAACAAAAAACTAATATATACCCATTTCAATTATTTATTTTTTACCAGTGAAACCAATGTAACATCTCCACATTCCCACATATACATTTCTGACATTCAAAAACAATACAAAAACTAATCAGCGACCAATATAGCCACCTTTCTTTGCAAGGACACTCAAAAGCTTGCCACCCATGGATTCTGTCAGTGTTTTGATCTGTTCACCATCAACATTGCGTGCAGCAGCAACCACAGCCTCCCAGACACTGTTCAGAGAGGTGTACTGTTTTCCCTCCTTGTAAATCTCACATTTGATGATGGACCACAGGTTCTCAATGGGGTTCAGATCAGGTGAACAAGGAGACCATGTCATTAGTTTTTCTTCTTTTATACCCTTTGTTACGGCCGCCGCCGTTTTGAAGCCCAGTGGTGTGCTGCGCACCGTTCCCTGTGCAGCAGCGCAGCACCACGGACAGCTAAGCCTTGGGAAGCTGTCCTTACTCCAGCACCATGGACAGCGCCGGAGCGGCAGTCACGCCAGCTGGGGCTTCTCATCTCATCAGCCGGCCCTTTAAAAGCGGCCAGGTGGAGCTCATCAGGGGAGAGAAATGTTTGGTGTTGCAGAGGCAATGTGTGTTCGCTCCCCGTTGGCGGTTACCAGAAATTTTGTGGTTAATACCAGGTTGTGGTTTGCTTCTTGTGAAGAAGCAGCTTTAGAACCTTTTGTGTTTTGGATATTTGCAGTTAAGCAGTAGTTTTGGTTTTGGTGTGACTACAAGACCACCTTGTGGGTAAATTACCAGGTGGGGGTTTTCCCCCTTTTGAAGTCTCAGTTTCCTGAGCTATTTTCGTTGTTTAGGTAAACTTAAGTTAATTCAGTATTTGGTTTTGTCCTTTAGACAAACCTTATTTAATTTAAGGGTGGGATTTTTTCCCCTTTTGAGTTTCATCCCCTTTTTAACTAAAGGAGATTTATTTAGGATTTAGGATCTAGAGTGGTTGGTCCTCTGGACATTTTCAGTTAACTAAGGATAACTTAGTTAAGTTCTAGGTAAGGGTTTTTTGGCCCTCACCCAAAGTTTTGTTGGCCCCAAATTTCTGGTAACCGCCAACGGGGAGAGAACACACGTTGCCTCTGCAACACCAAACATTTCTCTCCCCTGATGAGCTCCACCTGGCCGCTTTTAAAGGGCCGGCTGATGAGATGAGAAGCCCCAGCTGGCGTGACTGCCGCTCCGGCGCTGTCCATGGTGCTGGAGTAAGGACAGCTTCCCAAGGCGTAGCTGTCCGTGGTGCTGCGCTGCTGCACAGGGAACGGTGCGCAGCACACCACTGGGCTTCAAAACGGCGGCGGCCGTAACACCCTTTCTTGCCAGCCACGCTGTGGAGTACTTGAACGCATGTGATGGAGCATTGTCCTGCATGAAAATCATGTTTTTCTTGAAGGATGCAGACTTCTTCCTGTACCACTGCTTGAAGAAGGTGTCTTCCAGAAACTGGCAGTAGGACTGGGAGTTGATGAAACCAGCCCAAACCAGTACTCCACCTCCACCTTGCTGGCGTCTGAGTCGGACTGGAGCTCTCTGCCCTTTACCAATCCAGCCACAGGCCCATCCATCTGGCCCATCAAGACTCACTCTCATTTCATCAGTCCATAAAACCTTAGAAAAATCAGTCTTGAGATATTTCTTGGCCCAGTCTTGACGTTTCAGCTTGTGTGTCTTGTTCAGTGGTGGTCGTCTTTCAGCCTTTCTTACCTTGGCCATGTCTCTGAGTATTGCACACCTTGTGCTTTTGGGCACTCCGGTGATGTTGCAGCTCTGAAATATGGCCAAACTGGTGGCAAGTGGCATCTTGGCAGCTGCACGCTTGACTTTTCTCAGTTCATGGGCAGTTATTTTGCGCCTTAGTTTGTCCACACACTTATTGCGACCCTGTTGACTATTTTGAATGAAACGCTTGATTGTTCGATGATCACGCTTCAGAAGCTTTGCAATTTTAAGACAGCTGCATCCCTCTGCAAGATATCTCACTATTTTTGACTTTTCTGAGCCTGTCAAGTCCTTCTTTTGACCCATTTTGCCAAAGGAAAGGAAGTTGCCTAATAATTATGCACACCTGATATAGGGTGTTGATGTCATTAGACCACACCCCTTCTCATTACAGAGATGCACATCACCTAATATGCTTAATTGGTAGTAGGTTTTCGAGCCTATACAGCTTGGAGTAAGACAACATGCATGAAGAGGATGATGTGG